TGTCGTCCCATTACAGGTTATTGCAGACTTTTAGGCAGATTTCTCTGTTACTTAGAAGTTCGCAAGGATTTCTTGCCTAGCCTAGCCTCGGACACAAATGCTGGAAACGCGGCCAGTTTCAGCAAATACCGGTTCTGTACTAAAACAATAATTTCATCCGCTCCATACATCTCCCAAACAAGATGTTGAAATAGCGAATTCCTCAATATTATGTCGTTCTATTGCAGGTTATTGCAGACTTTTAGGGCGGATTCTCTGTTACTTAGAAGTTCGCAAGGATTTCTTGCCTAGCCTAACCTCGGACACAAATGCTAAAAAACCCGGCCAGTTTTAGCAAATACCGGTTCTGTACTAAAACAATAATTTCATCCGCTCCATACATCTCCCAAACAAGATTTTGAAATAGCGAATTCCTCAATATTATGTCGTCCCATTGCATGTTATTGTAGACTTTTAGGGCGGATTCTCTGTTACTTAGAAGTTCGAAAGGATTTCTTGCCTAGCCTAGCCTCGGACACAAATGCCGGACGGGTCACACGTTCACCTACAGCACGTTACTTCATTTCAGAATTCGTCCCTTTTTTCCTCGCACTGTAAGCTTGGCAACATTTTATTAGCCGAAGACATCACTACAATTTATGAACCTAAGTATGGTATATTCCTTAGTAACAATATATTTGAAATCCCTTAAAACTTTTATGGTCTCATTACAACTTTCTGGTGTATCTATTTAGAGTAAACAGAAGAGACGCACGGAACCAAAGTTGGACAAACGAAACCTTCCCAAAAACAGCATAGATGTAGACTGTATACAATACTATATATTATAGATTTTTTGATTACGGCGATCAGGCGGTATTTAAGTGTAATGAATACATGTACATTGAAAGACCGATTGAAGTAACTAGCCATTTTTTAACCTCCTTGTATATATATCGCCTAATTTTGCTCGATTTTTTAAATTACGGCGATCAGGCGGTGTTTTAATGTAATGAATACCTTGAAAGACTGACTGAAGTAACTAGCTGGGAAGCATTTTGTATGGAATTTATGTAGCCATTGCAGCAAGATTCTTCTGTACATGTTTTTTTAATGTCTATTGTTTTTTTGTGAAATGCCAGGATGGTCCCAAGCTACCTAACAATGGCTGTCTTGGCACCCCCGCCAATTTACATTAGGCAGACAATTAGCATTTAATTGGAGCCGCCACCGGCTATGTAAATTCTGACCTAAAATACTAGTAAGCCAATCGTCTCATACCCCGCATGAAACGACAGCCAATCAGTGCTTATGATACAAATTTCAAATCTGTCAGTTGGAGTGGACGTCACTCTATGTTTGAGCATTGCAGAGTGTGCACTGTGCAATCTAATCTTCTATAAAATGTCTACGGTTTCTGGAACCATGAGAAAGGAGACGATGAGAACTTAGCCATCATCCTCAGGGAAAAGTACGGCTGGAAGAATTACCTCCCAAGCAGACTCCAAGAGCAAGACTACCGCTAGGCTGAGCAGAAACATGCACGGGGAACCCTGCCAGATAGCCCGACGCCACCCGGCGTCTCTCGCCAAGGACGGAAGATCTTTCATGTAAAGCCTCGGTCACAACTCGCCGTGCGTGCTTTTTGTCCGTACGTTTTTGTCGTGGCTACGTCTGCTACGTTTTTTCTGCAAACGTAGAGTGGCCGGCCGAGGGAGTACGTCACTCGCACGGTTGCGCAAGGTGTACGTACGTGGTCTGCACGACACGCCTGGCCGTCAGCGGTTGCGTGCATCGTACGTTGCGCAAGTGGTAAGTGAGTTGTACGTGCTTACAACGCACGATCTCTGTGCGATTGCTACGTTTCCGCGTACAGGCCGTACCTACACGTGCGGCGTACGCACGGTTTCCTTACTCACTCGCACGTTGTAAGTGCGTGCACCTCCTGTTAACTTCATCATCACTAGCCGCCCTGGTGTCTTCCGCGGCCCGTTTCTTTGGGTCTTGTCTGGTAGACTTCTTCTGAGCCTTCCTGGGCATCTTGGAGACGAGTTGGCAGTCGCCGGTCAAGTCGTCTTTATATACTGTAGAAATCAGGTGCGCTGCACGTGCGTTGCACGTGCGGAGCACCTGGTATGGTGCACGTGTGTTCTGCGTGGTCATTGAGCAGGTCAACTGGGAAGTGAGGAGTAAGCACGGATGACGCAAGCACCGTGCGTGGCACGCACATGCTTCGTGCGCTGTCCGTACAGCAATTGCACGTGAGAATAGTGAAGTTAGACTCACGGAGTCCGTACGTTGCACGCTCATAGGCTGTGCGGGGCACGCGCGTCGCACGTACTCGCACGCACGGGTGGTAAATCCGCAGACCGCACGTAGAAAAAGTATTACATGCACTTAAAGTTCTACGGCGTGTCTGCGTGCTCCCAAATCCGTAGGATTCCGTACGGAGGTGGTACTCACCACGCACGGATGCCGTGCGATTGCCCACGTTTTTGCACGTAGACAGCACGCAGAAGCACGTACGGCGAGTTGTGACCGTCGCTTGTAAGCGGTTCATATTTGTTCCATCTGGTTTTTGAATGTTGACATGTTGTACATTGAATTTGTTTGCCACTTCCTTTGCCTTGTTTTCGTCGGAAAATATCTAACGAACGATTATGTACCATTTCAGCAAATGGAGAGGGGACATAGAAAGCAAGACGGCCGGACCGGACAACATACACACAAGAGACAAATCCCCGAGCCCACTGAAAGCGTCGAGGAAACAGCCGCTCTAGCCACTGGTAGAAACAAACGCCGGCCAGCTAAAAGTCTACACAGGAGGATATCCCTGGACGCTGTATGTAATACCAGTGAGGTCCGATCCGGGCACTAGCCTCTACCAGGCTTTGGGAGGCGGCCGGAAAGAGTAAAAATCGGCCAAATAGAGAGATAAGCATGCCAAGGGAGTTTGTCTCAACGGACAAGCCAAGGGAGTTCTCCGTTCGAGACAAACTCCCTTGGCATGCTTATCTCTCTATTTGGTTGATTTCTTCTCTTTCCGGCCGCCTCCCAAAGCCTGGTAGAGGCTAGCCGGGCACCCGTCGGCAGGTGTCCTAGGAGCCTCCCAGACAGAAGGGGGCTATCAGCAAACGGATCAGAAGGACTTTACACATGAACCGTCTGGTGATCTAGACAAGCATGAGCAAACAGAACAACAGCTTTTTATTGTAGTATTGCCTTGATAATTTTGAACATCTACAAGCAATATTATGCAGACAGACTTTCAGTTTTAATTTGTTTTCAACAAATTGGTAAGCTTTCGTAATTGCAAAATATTTTTGCGGCTAAAACAAGTTTGTTGATTTTCTTCCTGTTTGTGTGATTATCCTAGTACATTACCGTTTAAAAATGAACTTTAACCAGCTTTCTTGTTTTTGACTGTTATATGTGAATGCTGCCCGAAGGAGGTCATATATGTATATGTGAATACATGTAAAAAGAATAAAAAGGATGCTGAATAAAATTTGCGTACCATTTGTCGTATATTACAGAATTTAAGAATGCTTTAAGGTGCTTATATGTAGCGTAAACATTACGATTTTAAGCTTACTTTACAGTGCTTAAAAGTTGCTTAAATAAGTGCCATTAAGTACCTTTACGGATAAATTAAGCTAGCTTAAATCACTACATTTAAGGACCCTTTAAGACGCTTAAATGTAGTGTAAACATTAAGATTTAAGCTAACTTTACGGTGCTTAAATGTTGCTTAAAAGACTGCCATTAAGCACTTTACGGATAAATTAAGCTAGCTTAAATCACTGCATTTACGGACACTTTAAGACGCTTAAATGTAGTGTAAACATTAAGATTTAAGCTAACTTTACGGTGCTTAAATGTTGCTTAAAAGAGTGCCATTAAGCACTTTACGGATAAATTAAGCTAGCTTAAATCACTGTATTTACTGACACTTTAAGACGCTTAAATGTAGCGTAAATAGTAAGATTCAAGCTTACTTTACGGTGCTGAAATGTTGCTTAAAAGAGTGCCATTAAGCACTATACGCACAAACTTTAAGCTAGCTTAAAAGTAATATTTAAACACGCGTAAAGATTGGCTTAAATTTGCTTAAAGAGTGCCAAAACGGAACCTTTAAGCATGCTTTAAGACTGCTTAAATACCTGATTTCGTGCAGCCTGTCAGAGACACAATCACATCTCTCCGGGCAGGTGAAGACAGCCGTGACGACCCACAGGAGACCGAGGACACCGACTGCAGCAGCTCGGCACGTCACGTGAAACGTCTGCATCCTGCTGCTGCTGCTACAATCACAATGAAAACATCCAATAAATGTACAGATAGCACCACAGAAATCTAAAACCGTGTTGTTGATTTATCAGATATTACGTTATTATGCTGACTACGAATATGCCTGTTTGTGCACTGGCTGCAAGGCTGATTTTAATGAATAAAACTTGATGATGTACATTCCATTGAGCAATGATGTGGAGGAAATAGAATGTCTATAAATATATCATCTATATCTTTGAACATATATAGTATAATTTTCCTTTTTTTTTTACAATTTTACCTTTATTTCTAAACGCCACAAGTATTAAATTCTTGCTATTAGAATTATAACATTTGCTTATTCAATATGCAGTTCATTTGCCTAATTTATGTACCTTGATATTAAATGGCAAATGTCTAATTAAATACTACTATTATGGGACGCACCTGAGTTACACGATTTTGTCATAAATTATGCAAATTAGCTCCTGCTTTTTAGAACAAGCTGCTAAGGGGCCTGAACTTAGGTCGCTATCATAAGAGCCATCTACAACCCGACAGTCGTGACTATAGCATGCCCAGAACACGAGATATCATAAACGGAAGTTCTTATGCAGCACCCTCAAATCCCGCTAGAGGGGGCCATAATCTAATCATGTACACGTCTCAATAAAACCTACCCACATATAAGATAATCTATGTAAGCCCTTTTTGAGATATCGTGGTGACAAGCACATACAAACGTTGCCGAAAACATAACCTTCTGATTCACCCTCGACTTTTTTAGTTATTACGTATACCATCCTTTAACATCGTCCACTATTAAGACTTGATTATTCATCACATTTATTTAGTACGTATTTTTATTCTAAGGGAAAAACGTTATAACTTAAAAAGTTGTGATAAGTAGTTTTTGAAATGTTGTGTCAATTTTTTATATATTAATTAAACCAAAGTCCATGACATTATGGGTGGGGGGGGGGCATTGGCGTGTGTGTTCGCGTATTTTTTTGTCTCGGAAAAGAGAACGCATTTTCTGCCAAAAGCATGCTGGGAAAAATAAACTACCCTTAGGACAAGTATTTTGGTGCGGAGAAGGCCAATTGGAGTAATTATCAGGTGGGGTACACTTAAGAAAGCCAAACTCGCTCGCAAGCTGACCAAACTCCCCTCTGGGCGATGTAGAAAAGGAGACGAAAGCGCCTTCATTGTTCCACCGAATTAGGCCATGTTGATTTGATTATATGGATGACATTACTGCGAACCCAAAAACTGATGCGAGCGTGCGAATAAAAAAAAACTTTGGCCAAAAAAATTGCTTTCATTATGAAATCTACGTTGTCATGAAGGTTGAACAAATGACACGATGAGTATGGCATGGCGAATAATCTACTCTTCAAATGTATGTCTTTACATTTTTGTCTTTTCGTTTGATTTTGGCATTGATTTGATTTGATTTATTAGACTGTATAAGACATGTGTATACAGCCAGGACTGCCCAACTAGCCGGAGGCTATTATTAAGGGCTAGCCCTCACAACAAGAACATAAACAATTAGTAACAGGTAACAGCTGACAGTGTCGGTTACACTTCAGATAAACATACTATTACATAACAGATGTTGCGGTCTAACGTTAACAGGCTATGAGATCTGGCCTAGTCGTCATGCGATAACTATAATTACATTGTGTACTATATTTACATTGTCCATACAATTCTATTGAACTCGTACGGTTTTGCTAAGTAGTTGTCATCGAATATTTATCAAGTATTGTCCATAGTTTGTATTTAAAGGAGCTGATGGAGCGGGCTGTACGGGTATCGCTAGGGAGAGCATTCCAGAGGGCGATTGCTCTGTTCACAAACGTTCTCCGGGATCTGGTAGTCCTACAAACGGGAATGGATAAGTGTTCACTATTCCGTAAGGGATACCGGGATTCTGTGGCGGAGGCTCGCGCTCGAGGTAGCAGACTTTGCAGGTGTGGAGGACAGCGACCGACATTCTACGACATTAATTGGATATTTCTTCCTGCAACTTACGGTACATATTTGCTCATTTTGTAACTGTTTTGTACCATTTACAGTATGGTTAAAAACTGTTTTTTTTTTCGAAAAGGCCGAAAATACATGCGCGCGCGCAAGTCATCAATATTATCAAATCAACATGGCCTTAGGTACATTGTAAATCACTCACGATGCAACATCATGGTGGCCTGAATTTGTCTGAAATATAATAAATTTAATATTTTTTGCTATGTGCTATGGAGATGTACATGTAGAGCAGATATTTGATTTGAGTTTCGTCTTCAGTGACATTTAAGAAAACAGCAAAAGTGTGGTAGAGATTTTACAGATGACAGGAAGCAAGCTGGGTATTTGTGAAACGCAACCACTGTATCAAAACTTCCACTCGCCCGGAGGCCTGAACAGAAGGTTAAGGATTTGGCCACCGTACTTGAAATTTCTCAAACCACTCTGTACAATTTAAGAAATAGTAACGACTTTCGACTTTCGTTATAATTTACTAATAGGGTTAGTAGATCTTTTATACCCTTTTGTTTAAGTCATTGGAAGGAACTGGACATGGAAGTACGTTCTTAACAATACTCCTTGTTCCGGAAACACCTTATTAGATTAGTACGCCCCCTTTGTCCCCCACATTACAATTGTGGCCCGCGTTACACCTGCGCCTTTTTCGGCCGTGTCTATACGGAATCACCCAAACCGCGATTCGGGTAAGTCACATTCCTCACATCTGGTCTACGTGCCACACACACCTGTGAAACCGTGTCCGAACATAATTCGCTTGAGCTACATTTATTGCTGTTTGATGATAACACGCAAGGTGGCGTGTTATTAATGTCAGAGGTCATCGACCTGCTTGCTTATGCCCCCCTCCCAGCGTATCTCGGCCGAATGCCGACGTGGTCCCGCCAGAGGCGGTGAAGCTCGCCCTAGAACGGACCCATTATTTGACCATTACTGCTCTTTAACTTGCTGCCACGTAAAAGTTGGTATTGCATATTGGTAAGGCCCGGTCACACTGGGCGAACTTTGCTGGAGCGTTCCTTTAACGGTAGGGACGGGGGCCGAATTTCGACAACGCTCGTCACCGCGCCCAAAATGTGGGGGAAAATTAAAACACGGGCGTTGGCTTAGCGGTGCACCGCTGAATCCGGCGTTGCTTTAGCGTTGGTTTAGCGGTAGCGAGCATTGCTTTAGCGGTGACGCGAGCGTTGGTATAGCGGCGTTCTTTGCATGCGGTTTAGCACCATACCGCTTGTGATGTGTGTCGACTACGGATCGTTTTGTAGTAGTGCAAGTTCTGTTCTGCGTGTGGGGGGACTTTTAGCTTTAATAAACATTACTCAATAATGAAAATAAAACTTTGCAGATTGCAAAGTTCCCCTGTGACCCCAATAAAGTGATTGCCCGTGTGACCCTTCTATGAACATTTTACGTGTGACCCCAAAATAATTGCACACTAGTGCACCAATCATAGCAAGTCTTTCAGCATTCATGGTGATACAGTTTTGCTGTAACTTCCAACAAATTCGATATAGATGAGGCAGCTCGATTCCAAATGAGCACCTGGTCCATTTCTATTTATAGCCAAATTCTGGTCCCGCTCCGACACCTCTATACCAAAACCAAACCAAAGTTCATTGCCGATATGAATCGCTGTTTCAACGCCCGACACCGTTCCAGCAACCCCGTGTCCGCTCGTAAAACGCTTGCAACCGCTTCAGCAAAGTTTGTGCAACGTTTGTGCAACGTTTGATCGCCGCCCGGGCAACGCTGGGGAAGTAGCGGTGGTCCAGCGTTCAAGATTTCTGCGTTGGCCTAGCGGACCCAAGCGTCCACGAAATTGCGTCTAGCGATGCTAAACTTTGACTGGGCGTTGGTGGAGCGGGGGTGAACTTTGCCAGGGCGGAAAATTGCCCCCTCCTCACCGCTCGCAATATTTTTTGCTGCTGAAAACGTTCGGAGCGGTAGGAGGGCCCCTCCAGAAACATCAGCGGTGGCCGGGCGTACACGGCTTTGCTTTAACGGGGGCCAACTTCTGTTTAGCGGTGGTGAGCGGTGGTGATGAATTTTATTCACCGTGCAAGGAACGCTCCAGCAAAGTTCACCCAGTGTAGCCCAAAAATAATTGCACACTAGTGCACCAATCATAGCAAGTCTCTCAGCATCCATGGTGATACAGTTTTACTGCAACTTCGAGCAGGCCTGAACTCAACGGCAGCTCGATTCCAAATGAGCACCTGGTCCATTTCTCACCGTACTTATAGCCATATTCTGGTCCCGCTCCGACACCTCTATACCAACGCCAAACCAAAGTTCATTGCCGACATGGATCGCTGCTTCAACGCCTGACACCGTTCCAGCAACCCCGTGTCCACTCGGAAAACGCTTGCAACCGCTCCAGCGACGTTTGTGCAACGTTTGTGCAACGTTTAATCTCCGCCCGGGCAACGCTGGCGAAGCAGCGGTGGTCAAGCGTTCAAGATTTCTGCGTTGGCCTAGCGGACCCAAGCGCCCACGAACTTGCGTCTAGCGATGCTAAACTTTGACTGGGCGTTGGTGGAGCGGGGGTGAACTTTGCCGGAGTGGAAAATTTCCCCCTCCTCACCGCTCGCAATATTTTGTGCAGCTCAAAACTTTCGGAGCTGTAGGAGGGCCCCTCCAGAAACGTCAGCGGTGGCCGGGCGTACACGGCGTTGCTTTAACGATGGCCAACTTCTGTTTAGCGGTGGTGAGCGGTTTCGAGCGGTGATGAATTTTATTCACCGTTCAAGCAACGCTCCTGCAAAGTTCCGCCAGTGTGACCGGGCCTTTACATTGAAATCACATTGCGTTCAGACGCAAATCGCGATGCGGGGAAACCGATTCGAAACCACCTCTAGAAGTGGCTTGGGATCGAGGCGCTTTCAATGTGATTTCGGAGCGTTCAGATGGAGCCACTTGAAACCGGCAATCTTGCAGATTTACTCGGTCATCTTGTCAACCTTAAAAATATGTCAGATAATGCTAAACTGCACTTTATTCTTAGAGGCTCCTCAATGTTACCCTCTATGTACAACTTTAAAACGATGCACCTCACTCAGATTTACATTGGAGATACCAAGCGCTTCTAGCTCTGCTTGACTGTTTCTAACAGTCAATTAGATATAGAAGTCCAATGAGATATAGGAGGTTACCATGTAAATCTTATCTTTCAAATTGCTCTGTTAGCATTTAATTTAACATTTTAATGTCTTGGGGTGGTGGGACTACGGCGCACATATCAACTTTGTATATCGTTAATTGTACTTTTTTTGGGTGTGGCGCTGTTAATATAACTTGTTAACTTGGGTGCAGCGTCACACTGTCCTTGTTATGTTTTTATGTTTTGATAAATAAAAAAAGTATGAAGTCTGCTTGATAACAGTAGTCTATTCCATAGTCGTGCCTAGGCATGTGTTATCATAATGCTACATGTAAACATTACAATCCAATACCATTTTTCTGATTGGTATGAGGCTCCAACACCAATCATGACTCATCATGGTCTTCGTCTTTGTTATTAATGTCAAATCATGCGTAAATCGCAGTACCTAAGTTGTTCAATGGTATATCTGTGTGTGGAGTAAGCCAGGAATAACAGGATTCAAGTACAAATTTTTTTGAAAGTCTAATTTTTAAGCCTGAATGGTGACTGGTTGTATGTATATTGAATAGGTGAGATACTGTTACACGCCTTACAAAGGAACCTGTTAAGTCAGTCAGTCAATGGTTGCTAACTAATGCAGTTACATTGTTTACAGTTTCTTATCCCTCTTGATTCGTCTTCCTTTTTCTGTCTCTTTCGGCCTGTTAATTACTTACAAATTTTCAGAAATGTGGAGACAGAATCTTATGTGCTGGCTGATTTTTTGTGAAAGAAAAATTCCAGTCCATTAAAGAAACCCCGATAAAAAAGGCTAAAAACACGCCAAAAATAATCCAAAGCTCTGCTTGGAGAGTCACGTATGTTCTGCATGGGCTCTTTTTAGTTATTTCAATCGTCTGCGTCCGGTGTTGACATTGGCACGTCCGTGCCTTTCACGGTGACACAGCAGAATGGTGTAGGCGGTGTTTTGGGCCAGACTCTATCTACGCCTCTCGTTACAGGTACAAAATACACTTGAGTAATAGGTCAAACACCTGTACTTGGGTTGTCGATACTGTTTACTGGAAATACCCAAAGACTTCTTACTGGCGACGTTCCCCAAAAAGCTTTCTGCCGGTGAAGAGCGGGCGAACCAACCACACAATCAGCATGTTAGGAAAGTTTATAATTCGAACAATTGGTTTTAACCATGAACTTTTACTCATATCACAACTGTAATGCCAATATATGAACCCTTTGGAGTTGATTTGAAACATGAATGGCACATTTGCATATTCTTTTCTTACTCAATGTAGATGTGTAGGTGAATAAAAAAATGAAATTTGTGTGACCATAACAATCAACATTGTGTAGTTATTGCCCTTACTTGAGTCCAACACTGTTTAATTTATTCATAAGCGATTTAACGGAAGAGTTTAATGATCATTTTTGTAATCCCCCTAGCTTACATAACAAGAAAGTGTCGTGTGTTATATATACGGAGTTTTGCGATGGCTGTTCTATGTCGAATGTTTGTAATACTCAAATATTTCTCCTCGTGGTAAGATACTTTAGATAATATTGAGGACATGAATGCCATTTTGTAGTTGATTGTACTTTATATAGAAATGAGAGGGATTCCCTCTAGACGTGTATAATAGCTTTAGACATTTAGACAAAATAGAAAAATTCGCATTCCTTATGAAACTTGACAATGTTTCATTAACCCCATAATGTCCTTACATCTATACATGTAACTGCCTAAAGAAGCGAGAAGTTGAACTTGTAAATAGTAGACCACATTAGTATGTACAGTTTAAGTGTCATTGCTGTATTATTTTCCCCGTTTATCCATGACCTGTACTTAGCTTGCTAGAGCACAAACATACAATAAAGGTCTTTCAGTCATTCATCCACCGATCGTTGACCAGAAACAGTATTTTGACATTCTGTGCCGGATATTTAAAATTCAAGTTTGAAAATTGAGTAGTTAATAACACACACACACACACACACACACACACACACATAACACACACACACACACATAACACACACACACATAACACACACACACACACACACAGACATAACACACACACACACACACACACACACACACACATAACACACAGACACACACACACACACATAACACACACACACACATGTACACAAACAAACGCTACGGAAAACATAACCCTCTTGGCGAAGGTAAATACACATATACATACACAACCGCTGTGGAAAACATATTCTCCTTAGCGAGGGTAATGATAAACAAGTGCCACGACTGTGGTGTAGGATTGTTGAGAAACAATAGACAGACTTACCGTAGTCTAAGAAGTTCTGAAGGTGTCTGCAGTCTTGCTATCTTCTTCACTGCTGTGAATTATTATCGTACCCTGTTTTACCTCCGGATGTGGGGGTGGGGGGTGTTGGGCTCTGAAAAAAGATAATGGCCAGAAAATCAACATGCAAAGCCAGTTCCCCGAAAAGCTTCCTGTCACAGAACACGCACCCGTGTTTGTTGTGGATACGCACGGCGGTCGGTTGCTAGGCTAAAAGTCGCATTACTAGGGAGGTATCGGGTTACAGAACATGTTCGAACGTGGCCGCGCGGGAGTCCCGGGTCGACCCGGGGGTAACGGGTAAAATTTGAAAATAAACAAAAGTAATTGGAGAGTAAATACTCGTCAAAATAAAATGTAATAAGTGATTTTGTTTACCTCAAATGTTATTCTTGCACTGCCTTTGCTCCACTTTGTGTACATTTGCTTCCAAATGAGATCAATCTCGGATTTCAAAAAGGGTTCACGAGAACCAAACAACTGATCTTAAGAGGCCCCGAAAATTAAAAATAAGGTTAGATATTTGGATTTTTAGAAATATTGCAGTAAATTTAAACTTTCTGTCTTAGAATTTTTTTTTATTTTTTTACTAAAACTCGACTTACAGTCAAAAGAAGAGCTAAAAACGCAGTGTTTTAACTTTAAATACCGATAATTCATAATCGCGGCCATATATAAAAAGTCCCTAAGACAGAAATCTGCGGAAATCGCTCCTCTTCCAAACAAGCCCTCAATGAGGTAATTTGAGCGATTTTTGGGAGTGGTTAAAATACCATTTTTGCACGCATGCTGTGCCACTTGGATATGGGGACCTGGATTTTATAACAGCGTCAACAAGAATTCTGACCTTCAAGGTCACCCACGATGACGGCAGTAGCTTCGTTACATGTTACATATCCACAATAAAATCACGGCATAGATGTAATGTTTTGAAAACGGTTCATATTTGTGGAAAGATGGATTTTTCCTGTTCCGTGGTTCCCAAGTAAAAAAGGGCTTGAAGTAGCCGGTTGTAGCGGCTTTACTGTAATTGACCGCGGGTAACCCCAGAGCGAACGCCCGCTCTATTCGAATGACGTCATATCGAACAAGATTCGCGGGTTCGGGGGATTCGATCTCCATAGTAGCGGAGTGGGACTTTTGGGCCCAAATCTGACCATCGTGACGTCACCAGCTTCCTGCCGCGTCAGCGAAGTTCCCCGTAAAGCTCCTGCCGGCAAACTTCTCCGAAGGGCTTGCGAGCTAGTCACAGGTATATAATTCCAACAATAGAACAATTCAAATTTTGACATATTCTTAAAAAGGTACCCTTATCATAGAGAATTCTGACAATCGTCTTAGCATCAATAAAATAGAATTATTCATTATGATAATGAGGATGTTTAAGTATGAAGTCTGTGCTACAGTAATCTATCCCATACCTAGGCATGTGTAATTAATAATGCTGGATTTGAACATTTCCATGGCAGGACGAATTCAGATTCCAGCTTCGGGTTCAAAATTTGTAAAATTTAGCAAAATAGGGAGACTAACAGGCCAGGTGAGTTTAACCACTGTGGAGTTTATTTGTCCGCGCTGAAGTTTGAAAGATGACAGGAGATCGTCTTACACTGTCCTTTAGTTCAGTATTGGTTAAACTAGGTGTATCTAAGCTTATATGTGGTCACACACTATCTTCCTACTTGCTCTCAGGCTATAAACTATCATGGTAATCATGGCTGTGCCAACCAGGCTTACATACCTTTCACAGTGTTTTAGTCCAGACTCTACCTATCTAATGTCTTACGCCAAGGACACAAATACACTTTACTAATGGGTCAAACACCTGTAAATTGTCGTTACTTTTTCATTTAGAAAACCAGACCTTTTTAGGAAAACAAGAAATTCAGTGAAATAAACGGATGGGGATATATATATGGGGAATATGGTCACTCTTTCAATCTTGAGTCCACGTATGTCTTAGACCACGAAACACGCTTGTAGGAACGGGGTGTTAAAGAGGCAATATATGAAAGAATGTACAACCCCAGCCTCAACAGGGCTAGGGAAGGGGGGCTACGGGTAAATCTCTCCGGTACTTGACGTATTTGGCGGTCACAGCCCCGAGGACAGACAACACTTAATCTCCTGTTCTGCATAACAGGAGCTTTCTGACAAATTTGCCCAATCTTGTCTTGACTTGTCTGACTTTTGTTCCCTTTTCTACTTTCAAAAAAAATGTCTTTACTTTTTTTGCATATCAGTCAATAGTTTGTGCTTATAAACCTGCATTTCTCCTCTGATCTCTCAGTCACTGACAAAAGCTAGTGGATACTAGCTGAAACGTCTGACCGTTTGAAAAATCATATCCATTTGCGTTAGTAACTGCGTTTTGGCTTTTATATGGTGAATGATTGTTGATAAACAGTAAAAAGACTCACTGAAATATGGATTTCCTGACAGATCTTGTTTCGTCGGTCTGAGAAGTTTTTAACACGTGTCGGGAGACAGCTTAGCTCTGCTTGTGTATTTTATAATAACTGCGAATAAGTACTCTGAACTCTCTACCGGCTCACTCCCTCTGAGCTATAAACAAAGGTGAAAGCCAAAGATTTAACACACTAAGTCAGTTCCCCGAAGAGTTTCCTGTCGAACAGTGCACCTGTGCTTGTTGAGCACGACGGCAGAACGCACAGTACCTGCCCAAACCCGTAACGTATTGTACATAACCCAGAGTACATTGCAGTTTCCGATCTTCCAAACATATACCAAACCTATACCAAAACATAAACCAAACCACGTCTGAGTCACCCAGTACGTTCTGCATGAAGTCAGACAAGTTATTGTGATCCTTGTCACCGCTGTTTACATTAGCACGTCCGTGCCTTTTACCGTGATACAGGAGGGCCGTGTTGATTATTTTTAAACCAGACGCTGTCTATCTAAAGCCTTACGTCAGGGATACAAACTACATTTGACTAATTGATCAAACGTATTAGCGTAAGTGATCGATGTCATTTTAAAACACAAAAAAATGAAAATCTTTGAAATCAGTGCAGTGAAATGTTTAGAAAGTTTGTGACTCCGTTTGCGTTAATCAAATCCAGCTTACCCCCAACCCCTGGAGCTGGATTTGGGCCTTTCGATAGAATTGCGATAGAACGAATTCAGATTCCAGATTCAAGTTCCAAACAAATAGAATTTAGCAAAATAGGAAGGATAATAAGTCAGTGATTTGGACACTATGGTATCGATTTATAGATAGATAAATAGATAGATAGTAAGAGAGAAGAACATGAATTTTCACTTATCTTGCGTAAATTATGCCATGATTTGCATAGTCTGTATCTTTGAATGATACATCTGTTCTGAATTACAAATGCCACGTGCATGAAAATCCACGGTGTGGAGTTAGCCTCTATCAAGCCTTTCTACTGGGGTACGGATCGTAAAATAGTTGGCCAGGAGAGTTAGTCTGGGGGACGGTATGAACTCCATAGGGACCAAACCCCTTGCTACGTAATCTAGCCCGCCCAATATATGCATGAGCCTCTCACTCGAAGTAGGATTGTTGAGACAGTAAAAGCACTCACCGTAGTACGTCTGGCTGGTATATCTTGTCTAGTCCGTCTAACAACTTCTAAACGAGTCGGGAGTCCGTGTTACACTGTTGTTCACTCCAGCGCAGTAGTGATCTCGCACTATTTACCTTGTCTTCTTGCCCTTAGGCAATAACCCATCATGGTAATCATGGCTGTACCAGCCAGGCTTACATACCTTGCCTTTGGGCTTCGTGTTTGTTATTGAAGTCTAATGTTGCGTGAATCGTAGAGTATTTTGTTTTGCACTCGCATTTCTGTGTGGGTAGTCAGCAGACCCAAGAGGTCTGCTAACTTTTAAAACTTTTAAACGTATCGCGTATCGGGAGCCTTTCTTACACTGTTCTTCATTCCAGTGCAGTAGTGGGTTAACCAGGTTTATCTAAGTTGAGCTCATGCTATCTGTTGTGTTGCTTGCCCTCAGGTGATAAACCTTCATTTTGTGTTCACTGAACCAGTCAAGGGGTTTAAGTCTGAGTGCTAACCTCCTAGTGTTATTCCCCTGGCAACGGCTACAGCAATGACCCTGGGTTGCGATACCATCGGGAGCAATGTGAGAACCCCCAGGCCTGTCCTGTAATGTTCTCCTTGCTCCTGGCAGGTTGGTTTAATCATGGTGAGACGGTTCCCATCTGAGCTGCGGCTAGCTAAGGCCGTGTTTATGTGAAGTCACCCAAGGCGCTTTACATGTGGTTTACACCGAAGCCGGTTTCAAGTGGCTCCATCTGAACGATCCAAATCACATTGAAAGCGCCTTGATCCCAAACCCTGTTTTCTTGTTTTCTAATGTACGACGCGTCACGTGAAGAGTACACTGAAGCTGGAGATGCAGCCTTCAAACTTACAAGCCCATCTAGACGTCTGAGGTTGAGATAGGTGATAGCGCGTCACCAGTACAACCTATGTCTCCTGGCATTGGTAGCCGAAGAGGAGAGGCAGGCAGAGCTGGTGCGTCGCAAAAGACGATGGTGGGTTCGCCCCTGGTTGATGCGCAGACCCGTGTACGGATAGTACGAGTCACTAATGACTCGACATTGGCACACTTAATAAAAAGTAAAAAGGAGTTATGGAAACATTTTTGATTATTCTATTAACTTTTGCCTCTTAATGACTCGCTTGTTCATTCTATTCATTGTGTTTTAAAGGAATTTATTCTAGACGACGCAATATAGATAATATATCAACGTAGTTATAAAACTATAAGAAGAAAGTGCCATAATATGATTGTCAATGTTTAATGTACTTAATACAAACATACTGATAAAAATTTCAATTAATAAGCTCTGACAGATTGCATCTACCACCCGTGGTGAATGATTATATTGACATTACAGATGACTATCACACTTGCCATAATCTCAACACTGAGACCAGCCTTAGTGGAATGAATTCTTTTGATTCTGAATTCAAAACACTAGCGAAACGACTTCTAAGCCACATTATCATATAGCCAGATGGCGTTGACCAATCAGAAGCCCCCATTCCATATTGATTATGATGCCATGATGTCACAGTTAGCATGATACAAGTATTGCCAGGTGTGTTTTATTCTCACAAGTGTGCTTTGTTGCACAATAAAGCACGGCCCGGAGCAAACCATTTGCAGGGGAGTTGACTCTTTTTGCTGACATTTGTAGCACGTTACCTTCTTAGATAGAAATGTTTAACTTCTTGTCATCACTAAATTTTTTTAGAAATACATAAGAAATTAAAGACCATGTCAAGACATGTGAATTTTGAGCGAAAGGAAAGAAAACATATTTGGCGCTACCCCCACTAGTAAGTACATTTCTGTATTGAAACATCCAAATGACCTCAGATGCCTTCAAATGGAAGCTTGTTCTATTACTTTGGCCCAAAATAACCACAAATGGAATACTGGTTCTGTTCCGAAGTTCCGATGAACTCATATGACCTCTGATAGAACAGGCAAAATCATCACACTAAAGAGCATACAATTTTAGACAATGGTGTGCCAGATTTTGTCATAGAAGAACCAATTTAGACTCAATATGTGGGTCCTTGGAATCGGGAAAGATGCACAAGAACAGTGGCCAGGGGTCGGGAAGATAGAGAAGTGACTGTAATGGTTTGTTATATAATTTAGATGTATGTGTTATACAGGAATGTGTTACTCTCTACCGTGTAAGTTTTGATAGGCTATAAGATAATAGTGTTAATGGCCCGCCCTTTCTTGGTGAATATGATGTGATAAAGCCTTGTCAGTTGCTATATATATATATA